TGGGGGAACTTGGGGAAACAGGAAGATTGGGATAAAGGAAGGTTGGATAGGGGAGCAGGGAAGCACATATCTTAGTTAAGGGAGCCACCTTAGGGTTGGCAAGAGACTTAAACTTAGAGTGGCTCCCAGGAGCCCAAGGCGATGTCCCCAGTTAGTCCCTTGGGAAGCGGAGGATAGGGAACCTGAAATGACCCTATCCCATAGCAATACTGATGAATATCTTTCATGTCCTTGTTGTTTTAGTGGTAGTCACTGGAGCCTCTTTGAATTTGAGAAGTGTGCTAGAGAGACTAGAAGTGTGAGTACGAGAAAGATTTAAAAAGTTTGAACCATTGAGTTTTGTGCATGGTGATAGATATGTATCTACTTGATATCCAGTTTTCTTGAATATGCATTCTTTTTTCTATTTTAGTTCTTTTACATCTTTGTCAAAAAATCTTTGTTCATAGGTGCGTGGATTGATATTTGGGCCTTTGATTCAATGTCATTGGTCCTCCTGTTTATTTTTATGCCAATACCAGGCTGTTTTCAGTACTGTAGCTCTGTAGCAGAGTTTGCAGTCAGAGATTGCAGTGCTTCCAGAAGTTCCTTTATTGTACAAGATGGTTTTGACTATACTTTTATTTTTTCATATGAAGTCAGGTACTGTTCTTTTGAAGTCGGTGAAGAATTTTGCTGGAATTTTGAAAGGCATTGATTGAATCTGTAGATTGCTTTTGGTAAAATTGCCATTTTTATTATGTTCTTGTCATACAGGTCTTTTACTTGTTTGGTTAGAGTTACCCCAAGATATTTTATGTTGCCTGTTACTATTGTGAAGAGTAATGTTTCTCTGATTTCATTTTCAGGGTTTTTATCATCTGTATAAAAGAGGGTACTGATTTTTTTTTTAGTTAATCTTGTTTACTGAAGGATTTATGAGTTGTAGGAATTCCCTTGTAGAATATTTAGGTTCACTTATGTATACTATCGTACCATCAGCAAATACTGATAGTTTTACTTCTTCTTTTCTGATTTGCATCCACTTGATATCCTTTTGTTGTCTTATTGCTCTATCTAGAGTTTCAAGTTCTATATTGAATAGTTATGGAGAAAGTAGACAACCTTGTCTTGTTCCTGATTTATTTGGGATTGCTTGGAGTTTTTCTCTATTTCGATTAATGTTGCCTGTTGGCTTTCTGTATATTGCTTTTATTATGTTTAGGTATATTTCTTGTTTCCCACCACAATGAACTTAATAAAAGAGAAATTGAGAACTACACTGAACATACAGGCACAGGAGACCACTTCCTAAATATAACCCCATGGCACAGATACTGAGAGCAACAATTAATAAATGAGGCCTCCTGAAATTGAGAAGCTTCTATAAAGCAAAGGATACAGTCAACAAGATAAAACAGCAGCCTAAAAAATTGCAAAAAAAAATTCACAGCCCCAAGTGTAGATACTTTAAGTATTCTAAAAGTATTTATGGAAGACTATATTAAACTTCAGTAATCCACATCTTTATTATGTCAAAAGTAGTTTTCAACTCAGGGTAACTTCATTTTGTGATTGGTTCATTCAAGCATTAGCAGCATAATCCTAGGTAAATATTCTTGATTAACAAACTTTTTCACGTTTCTCTGGATTCTGATTAGTTTTTTTTAATTTGGATTGAATTTCTTCTGCTTTTTTTGTTATATTCTTACTATTTCCTTACTAAAAATTTTCTTGGTTAATAATGTGTGACAGGCATTAGGATAAAAAATGTATGTATTTATCCTGTGCTATCAGTCACTACTGAAGTAAGTTCAAATACCTCAAGTTCCACAGTTTATTTCAGGTAATGCACAGCTACCCATTTATCTACTCCCCAATTTATCCTGTAGAGGAGATTTCTGAAATGTGTAATGACATGAGGCTTGTTTGATTAAAAATCTTATTTCTTTACAACTGTTACTAATCTATAAGACAAAACTTAACCATGCAATCTAATCAGCTACCAGAGATTCTAAACAGGGAAAGAACAATCTGTGGGTTCTAATGAGGAAAAATTAGCTTGGTGAATAAGTTGTAAACACAGGAGTTGTTGAAAAGTAAAACGTTTGTGTTCTCTCTGCTTCATATGGAATAGGGCACCTCATTTACTACATTTACACCATATTACTATATCATGTTCAAGAAGTTTAGGGACAGATGTTTCAAATAAGTTAAGATAATGAATGAATAAAATCCCTTCATTTTTAGATTTAATCCTTCTATCCCTACTGAGTCCACTTTGCTGTATACTCTAGTCTGTGCCTTTTGTGTTACACTTTATATTTAAAATGATTTCTCCTTTACTTTAACCACACAAAAGGAAATAACCTAAATTCCCTCAGTTGTCTCCCTAGAATACTTGATTCTTTTTTCTAACCAGTTCTTTCTTGGATGAGCTAATATTATAGCTGTATCATTAATAATAAAGTATCCCAACTCTTTCTCTACATTATTTTTTTCCTTAACCAAACTCTAGTCAAGCATTTAAGAAAATAATAAAATAAAAATAACGAAGACATAGACCCCCAGATAAATGATGTAGTCAGATTTTTTTTACCATCTGATCTTTATGCGAGCTTTATTTATTAAAATACAAATGAAATATCATTACAGGTGTCTGCAATTCCTGCATTGGGAAAGAGGAGACAGTGGATCCAGTTGCAAGAAAGCTAATCGAACTAGCCACGTCTATAAGCTCTGCCTGGATGGATATGGTGAGCATCAGTTGGGGAAGATCTCTTTCATTCACCTCCAGCCTCCATATGTGCATATACTTGTGCATCCATCCATATATTAACAGGAATAAAGACACACCACACATACACACACATGAGAAAAGACAGATGATGCGTTATTGTTTTCTTCCCTTGCATTCTTGCTTAATGTAAACCCTAACTTGTGTGAATTCTAAAACCTGTTTTCTTCACATATTATTTTAATATTGGATTCTGGAATATTTGACGGTTCTTATCTTAAATAGAAAGATTTCTTTTAAGAGCAATAAAGTCCCGTAGGAAGCACTCTCATCTTTTTTGTAAGGATAAAATTCCTTCTGACTGCTTTATTCTAAATAAACCACAAATCTCCTGAAGCACCCTCTTCCTTCCAGCATCAGCTTCTGAGAAAGAGGAAAATATACTCTCCCCAAAGTCATGCTGATGTGGTGCTTTTCATGGGAGTCAAGTGCAAGTATGCAAATACTTGGTCACTGACAGTGTTGGTACGTTGGGCAGGTGAGGGTTAGTGTATAAAACATTTGATTGCTGGAGAAATGCTCTTGAATGAGCTGCTAGAAGCTGCCATTACTCTGCTATTTTTTCACAAAGCAATGATGTGAGAAGGTTCTTCCACAACAACAGCCTGCCATTGTGAATTTTACCATCATGCTACTCAGAACAGCAAGAATAAGTGATCATTTCCTGTTATCATCTTAAATCTGACCCTAAATATATTATTTATCTTTAATTGACTATTTATCTCAGGATATTTTTTCTACAGAACAGAGAGCTATGAAACAAAAGGCACATGTTTCCACTGAATCATTTCATGGAAAACCAATGATTTGAATAGTAGGCATATTTTAGAGATGAGAAATTGCTTTGTATGGAATACTTCGGATTTCTCTATAAATGTGGTGGAATGGTATAATATGTAACCGTCATATTGGGCTAGGATGAGATAGCAAGACGTTCCAACTTAGTGTGAGAGGTATGTGAGGGATTGGGGGTAAACATTTCTTCATGGAATGACTGTAGTATGAAAGGTTGAATGTTTAGCATTTATAAGCTCTGAAAAGAATTGGGCAAATCTATTGGCTATACTCATGAAGGTAGGAAGTGACAGAAGGCAGCCTAGTTCCTATGATCTTATATGAAAGAGTTAGGTAAGAGTCATTTTAGGTCTTGAGAAAACGTTTGTCTTAGTTACTGTTCCATTACAGTGAAGAAACAATGGGAAGAAGAGCTTTGAAAGCTAGGCTAGTCACCAATCTGATTATAAGAGAAGGTTGGTTCAGGTACCCTTTTCACTTTTTGGGGGGGATTAGCTTGGGTCATCCTTGTGGATCCCTGGGAATTTCCCTATGACCAGGTTTCTCCCTAACACTTTGAGGTTCCCTCTATCAAAATATTTCTTCCATTGATCCCCCACTCTTTCTCTCCCCATCTCGACAATTCCATCCCCTCATGTTCT